ATTCTCTCTCTTCTCCCCTTTCCTCAAAGCACGAATTTGAATGTTTTTGCCATTCACTTATTCATTCAGTATTTACTGAGCAGACTTGTCAGGCACCATCGTAGGTGGTGGAAAAACCATGATTCTGACACTTGAATGGCGTTTTACAGCTTACAGATCGTTTTCCCATAAATTAATTCACTCCTCAGAGGCGTTCGCTTCATTTCACCCCAGATTTTCCTCCCCTTTACACGTTATATTTCTCTTCTATTTTATTCCTCATTTCCTTTGTCAAATCTTTGGCGTGCAGAATATTTACTAAGTGAATTGGGGGTGGGCTGAGGTGACAAGTGGACTGGAAGGGAAGGTAGAAGGTGGGGGGAGGAGAAGCCAACCAGATGAGAAAGCAGGTCCTGTGATGTTTTCGGTAGCCCACCCTTTAGGATAAAAACACGTAGCCCTGTCTCCTTTTAAGAAAGCACAGAGCTACTTGAAAAGGAACAGTGACTAGACACAGGGCTAGCGGTTCCCCAAATCCTCTCCTCCCCTCTGACAATGAGCATATTTAACATATTAAAGAAGCTACAGCGTTGTTTTCCTCCCTTCCCTCATAAACACTCAGGTGCTTAAGTCCCAGCATTAAAGTTCCCTAATTACAGTTCCTCTTGAATTTCATGACACCAACCAGTGGGCAAAAAATAGAACATACAAAAATGATTAACCAGACAATTATTCTTTTCATCTCATATCACCCATTTCATTCATTATTCTGCCTGTCATGCACACCAGAGACTTCTATAAGGTGTTTTAGAGACGCACAGGATAAAGCAGATGATACAATAGATAATCTTCTACCATAAGACATACCAAGCTCCTTTCTAAGCCAGGCCCCTTTAACTTGCTTTGCTCTCTGCCTGGAATGCTCTTCCTCCAGATCTTCCCATGGCTGTCTCTTTCTCATTCAGCTCAATGTCACCTTCACGGAGAGGCCTTCCCAGCCAGTCTGTATAAAGTAGTATCCCCACACTCAGCTCCTCTATCTCATTTCACAGTTTTATTTGCTTCGTGGCATTTATCTCTACCTAAAGTGAACCGACTTATTTATATATATATTATCTGTCTCTTCACAAGTCTATAAGCTCTAAGAGGGCAGAGATTACTTTTTAACACACTGCCTGAAACATAGTAGTAGACTCTTAATAAATATTGGTGAAATAAATGAGTAAGCAACGGTTATTTATTGAATGCCTAGTATATGCCAGTTCTGTTCTAGGCACTGGAGATGCACAGTAGTGCCCCCCCACCCCAATGCCAACCCTTATCCACGGGGAATTTATACCAAGACCCCCAGTGGGTGCCTGAAACCAAACCCTATATATAGTTTTTCTTATACATATGATAAAGTTTAATTTATAAATGAGGCACAGTAAGAGATTACAATAATAATAAAATAAAACAATAATAATATAATGTGATGAAAGTTATGTGAATGTTGTCTATCTCAAAAAATATCTTATTATACTGGACTCACCTTTCGTCTTGTGATGATGTGAGATGATAAAATGCCTTATTAAGTTGAGAATTTTCACCTTTTTACTTAAAAGAAACACTTTATGATTTCTCTTTGGCATATCTGAACTTCCAGCATCAGTACTCTTACATGTTGGGGCCATTATTAAGTAAAATAAGGGTTACCTGAACACAAGCACTGTGTTCTCGATAGTCTGACAACCGAAATGGCTACTAAGTGACTAAAAGGCGAGGACTGGATACTGAGTGAACATGCTGGCTGGACAAAGGGATGGTTCACATATGAGTGGAACGAAGTGGGAAGGTTCCAGATTTCATCCTACTCCTCAGAATGGCTCGCAATTTAAGATTTATGAATTGTTTATTTCTGGGATTTTTCCACTTAATCTTTTCAAACTGAAACCATGCAAAGCCAAATGGCAGATAAGGGGGGCAACTGTCGTAATGACTCAAACAGACTAAAATCTCTGACTTCTTGGAATTTATATTCTAATGCAGGGAAAAAACAATAAATAAATACAGCAGAGAAGGGGAAGCTGCTTGGGTGGGGCTGTGCTATGTTAAGTAGGGTAATCAAGGGAGGGTCTTGCTGCAGAGCCCTGAAGAAGGTGAGAAGGGAGGCCCCTGAACAAGGGGAGGAGGGTGAGTGGCAAGGGGAAGTTAGTCTTTTAGCAAAGGGAACAGGAAGTGCAAAGGCCCTGAGGAAAGTGGGCTGGTGGTGGTAATGTGGTTAAAACCAGGGAGCTCCTGGGAAAGCGGGAGGAGATGGATCTAAGCGGTACTAGTGGGGCAGCTCCAACCACGTAGTCTTGTAGGCCCCTGAAGGGACTCTGGTTTTTACTCCTTAATCAGATAGGAAGCCATTGAGGGGCATTGAGCAGAGTGAGGTGATCTGATTTAGGCTATACTGGGATCCCTCCTTCTGTTCTGGTGATAAGAAAAACTATAGGGGCCAAAAGTGGAAGCAGTTAGGAGGCCACTGATGCACTAATCCAGGCAAGAGATGATGTGGGGCTTGGTCCAGGGTGGTGGCAGGGAGGTGGTGCTACATGTGAATCGCCTGGAAGTATTCTTCAGGCAGAACTGACAGACGTTGCTGATATAATGAGCAAAGTAATGGTACAAAAATATGTACAGAATTCATACGAACAAGGTTTTTCTTGGATTTATAGAAACGAGGCTTGGTTTCGTCAAGCCTGTGACATTGATCTAGCAAACAGTAGTAGCACAAACCACCCAGAAATTCAGCACTGGAAACTGGAACTTTTGTGTCATCTCTTCTCACAAAGAAGGAACAAAAAAAGTGTGGTCAAATATACTCACTATCAAAATCTGTACTTGCAATTAAGTGACCTGGTTTGGGGCTTGATCTTCGTTCAGCACACAGACGTGAATGAGATAATTGTTCAGCAGACAAAACCCTTTCAAAGTAAAAATGACACTTATCCCTACACAGACGGTAAGCTCTTTGGGTAGTGACACTAAAGGGTAAACACTATTATCAAGAACAAAGATCTTGCTGGGTTTACCCTGATTGATGATCTGTACTTCCAGTTGATCTAGTCACTGCTCAGACTTCTGACCCTTTGCCTACCAGGGTGCACTGAAAGCTGCCTTGGAGCTTCTTCAACTTTGCATTCTTAACTAATGGGGAAATAGTAGGCGCACAACAAATACCAACCGGCCTGTTGGTTTCCAAGCATCCTTCACTACCCTCTTTTGCGCCCTCTTTCTGCAGGGCTCAGGAACACTTTATTTACCAAAGTCAGAGATCAGATAATCACTCACAAATATGAGACTTCACAATGTGTTTCGCATCTGGCAGGTCACGTGGAAGGAGCAATCCGGCGGCCCCCTCGGCCCGGGAAAGCAGGGAAGGCTTCCTGGGGGAGGAGTCTTCTAGGCTGCCACGTGACAGGTGCATGGGAGGGGGGAGGGAGCAGGACTTAAAAGAACAAAGGCGATTTGGTGAAGGACTTAAAATGTAAGGCCCTGAGACCAGAGGGAACCTGGAAAGGGCTGACCGGAATGGATGTCCGAGGCGCACAGGAGAGCGGGGTCGCCTGCACCTTTGGGCAGATGAACACGCAAGGCCGGCAGGTGGTTTCTGTAAATTGCTTTGGATCCGCAAACCTTCGAGTTTTGTGGGCGGATCACCAAGGGCTGAGGGGGGCCCTGCCCCACTCAGCTCCTTCAGCCTGGCCCCGCTGCGGGAGGTCGCGCAGTCCCCCCTCTTTCTCGCCTGAGTTCCCTCTATGGCCATTGCAGCCTACTTCCTCCAATTTAGGGGTCCCCCAACCCACGAGTCTTGCCTCCACCCAGAAAGTAAGCCATCGGGGAGCGTCTTATGGCAGGATACCAAGGTCGGCTTTTTGTTTCTAGCGGTTTTCGTGGCTACTCGTCAACGCGAACAAAACATCGTCTCTTCAGTTCCAGCAACACGACAACCGACTAGGGCAGTGCCACAGCTCCAGCCTTTAAAGCGGCCAGTTCTGGAGGCCGCGGACGACTGAGGTCCCCCCCCCACCCCGGGGACCCGGAAAGTTTACGTTTTCCTTTCTGAGTCCCGGGGCTCCGGGTGGAGCGCAGCGACCACCCCTCCGGAGAAGGCCCTTCTTCTGAAGCGGCCTATCCCAGGCTATGTCTGTCCACTTTGGGAAAGAAAGAAAGTTGGCGGGAGTGGGAGGGGCGGGCGCGGGCGAGGGGGCTGCGGCGGGCCGTCCGCTCTCCGCCGAGCGCGAGTCTGGGTGGAGCCAGCGGCCGGGCGCGGCGTCAGCGTTTAACATGCAAATCGATGCCCGCTCGGC